GGGGACCGTCTCGGCGTTCCGGCAAATAGCGATCTTCCTGATGGACCTAGAGGACGCAGTGGGGGACACAGAATTCCTGTCCTCCTCCACTCTCTCATCCTGATGTCCCTCTAGAGTTGAAGCGTCGATCTGGGTGGCCAGTTGTGGGAGTTCTGAGTTCCCAGTCTCAGGCCACCCCTGGGACTGGCCCATGTAAAGGGACATTTGGTCATGTAGGTTGTTCTGTAGCTCCAACTTGTTCGGAGCAGCAGACTTCGGCAGATAGACGTCTATGAACTCCTGGCATTTGGCTTCGGAGGGGACAGACAGCCTGGTCCCAATGGTAAAGGGTTGGATTTTTCTGACGACACCCTCAGACATGGTTCTTGATAGCTCTGCAGTTTAGTCTAGATGGGCATACTGTGACAGAATCACAAAACAATACAGATCTCTCACCTCATCGACTGCAATGTCCAGTATCAGAAGTTCAGAGTGAGAGGAAAAACAAGACGAATCGTCGAATGAACAACACTCTTTTCCCCAAAGAATAGTCAGGAGCAAAACTCACTCAAAAAGCCACCCGTCTCCTTGCACCTCATGGAGAGGAAGACAAGGAAAGGACACACAATAGGACGTCCCCTTCTGTCTGTTTCGAAGTTATCAACTGAGCTACAGCGCCTGTGTCATGTCAGGGGAAACCAATGTGAGAGGCCGAGGTGGGAGGAGTGCCTCTTCTGAGCAACCACCAAGCCGATAGTGAGAGAGAGATAGTGAGAGAGAGAGAGAGAGAGAGAGAGAGAGAGAGAGAGAGAGAGAGAGAGAGAGAGAGAGAGAGAGAGAGAGAGAGAGAGAGAGAGAGAGAGAGAGAGAGAGAGAGAGAGAGAGAGAGAGAGAGAGAGAGAGAGAGAGAGAGAGAGAGAGAGCTGAGCAAAAAGGGAAAGTGTCTGGCTTGCTGCCTGGCTGCTCTCTTAGAAAAAATGAAAAAATAGGGAGGGAAAGAGAGGGGGAAGTTTCATTAAAGAGGAGTGAGGTCACCACTTTCTGTCAAGGGCTGGGCAGAGTCAGAGTGACTGAGGGTTGTAAACTGGAGCTGCAAAAACGTCCTCCCAAAACAAAAAGCTCCATGCTCAGATATGAGTAGAGTAACAGAGGGGTAAATGCTCTCTCTCGTGCTCTCTCGTTCTGCTCAGTCACAGCTGGACAATGAGGTAATGCTTTTACCAAGAACAACAAACATGCAGCACCTCTAGATCTCACGTCTGAACAGTCGGCTCTCTCTCTTTCTCTCTCTCTCCATAACTGGTCAAATTGTAAAATGTTTGTTCCACAAAGACGAAAGGTGTAGGTATTTGTTTGTTCTCAAATATGCCTCAAGAATCAATTGTCTTTCCTAATAGTTTTCATACATTTTTCATAACAATCGCTATGAGTTTGTTCTGAGTAGTAACAAAATCCAATGCAATTTTTCCACTTCTTTTCCTAGTTCCACAGTCACAGTCCAAACATTTACAGACAAGCATAGGAAACACATTGTGCTTACTCAGACCTCAGGCTTCCACTTGATTTGAACCAGGTGTCCTATCTATGGGTCAAACTACATCAGGCTACTGTAACATCCTCTGTACTTCTTTGGCAATCACTTACAGGTATTTTCCATGTTATAAGCCATAGGCCTATACTGTATGTGGACTGGGACTTAGACAATGTTGTTTCTTCTAATAGGAACAGGAGAAAATACCTGTTTTTGTTTCATGAAGATAGATTTGGGTTTTGTAGAAAGAAGATTATTAGTTTTTTCAAATATTTCACTGTGTAATCCTATACTCTGGTGGAACGGTGTTCACATATTTGGCTTGTACAAGATGTAGGGAAATTCCCTCGTTGATTTATGAACACGACACCATTACACCATGCTAACTTGCTCACTCTCACAAATGAACACTCTTCTCATGTTTGTATTTTACCCTTACACCCCCTTTCCCTCGAGGCTCAACTGAAGTCAATTGACTTTGGGTCAACACCATGAGGACCAAAAACACTTAAGTCCTGAAATAGCCCTGTCCGTTTACTGTTCCAACAACCAACCATCTTATGTACTGTAGCTACATGACCTCAAATTCCTATGGCTATAGCTCATCCCTTTACCATGTCTTGACAGCTCTTGTTTTGCTGATAGCAAGAACAAAGAGTTCAGTGACATACTCCTGCATTTTCATGCAACACTTATACCACCGTGGGTTACAAGACATTTTCATTTTGCCATGATGCTAATGAAACATTAAACATTCCAGAATTAATTTCAATATGCAGTATCTAAATATAAATCTGACCATCTTGATCCTACCATAAAACAAACTCTATGGGGCTGTTTCACGGACACAAATTAAACCTAATCCTAGACTAAATTTCACTTTTAAACTGGACTAACTGAAATTACATTTCTCAGACATTGTTTAAAATAGTCTCAGATTTGCCCTAGTCTAGATTTTAAAAGTCTGATTTCCAGAAGGACGATTAGAATTAATCTAGATCTAAGTGAAAATTAAACCTGGTCAAAGGCAGGTTTAACTTCAGATGAATGGATGTTGGCCCCCAGGTTGACCTTGGCAAAGGAAGAAAATGGATTACCTGGACTATTTCAATGATGATCAAAGAGCATCACCAAGGTCAGACAGAAGGGCGGTTATAGACAGGAGCAACCCACTGAATGATTTTCATTAAATCAATTTTCGTGACCGTTTCCATACAAAGAAAATGCAGCTGACATTGAGGTTTTTGGCATCTGGAACCTTCCATCGTGAAACAGGAGATTTGTATGGTGCAAGTGAACCGACAGTATGCAGAATAGTCCACAAAGTCTGCAACGCAGTATGTGAACTGAAAGACAATTACATGAAGTTCCCTTCTGCTGTTGCCCAAGCCAACTACAAGGTAGAGCTATATGACTATGGGAACTTCCCTGGAGTCATTGGCTGTATAGATGGAAGTCATATTCCCATCAAGTGTCCCTCTACAGCAGATGCTGAGGAGTACAGGAATCTTAAAAACTGGTTCTCAATAAATGTACAAAGTGTGTGCACTCCCAATTTGCAGTTCTCCAACATTGTTGCACGTCGGAAAGGTATAACTCATGACTCAAGGATTTTCCAAAACTCCTCTTTGTATGCTCAGCTTGAAGGAGGACAACATAGTGGAATCATACTTGGGACAGTGGGTATGCACAGACCAACTTAATGTGCACCCCCTATCTTCATGCAATAGGACCTGAGCAACAACGGTACAACCAAGCTCATATTCGCACCAGAGGTGCAGAGGAGCGTGTTTTTGGTATATGGAGACTTTCGGCATGCTTATAGAGAAGGGCACTCAACATGTACTGCACTGACACAAATGACTGATGATTGGTTGAAATAAATTGATAATAAGAAGATTGTGGGAGCTGTACTGTTAGATTTCAGTGCAGCCTTTGATATTATTGACCATAACCTGTTGTTGAAAAAACGTACATGTTATGGCTTTTCAACCTCTGCCATATCATGGATTCAGAGCTATCGATCTAATAGAACTCAAATGGATTTCTTTAATGGATTGTTCTCTAATGTCAAACATGTAAAGTGCGCTGTACCGCAGAGCAGCTCCCTAGGCCCTCTACTCTTTTCTATTTTTTACCAATGACCTGCAACTGGCATTAAACAAAGCATGTGTGTCCATATACACATCAGCAACCACAGCTAATGAAGTCACTGCAACCCTTAACGAAGAGTTGCAGTCTGTTTTGGAATGGGTTGCCAGTAATAAACTGGTCCTGGACATCTCTAAAACTAAGAGCATTGTATTTGGTACAAATCATTCCCTTAGTTCTAGACCTCAGCTGAATATGGTAATGAATGGTGTGGCTGTTGAACAAGTTGAGGAGGCTAAATTCCTTGGTGTTACCTTAGATTATAAACTGTCATGGTCAAACCATATAGATTCAATGGTTGTAAAGATGGGGAGAGGTCTGTCTGTAATAAAGAGATGCTCTGCTTTTTTGACACCACACTCCAAAAAGAAAGTCCTGCAGGCTCTAGTTTTGTCTTATCTTGATTATTGTCCAGTCGTGTGGTCCCAAATTGTTTGCATAGTCAACTTACACACAGCTCTGACACACACACTTACCCCACCAGACATGCCACAATGGGTATTTTCACAGTCCCAAAATCCAGAACAAAATCAAGAAAGCGTACAGTATTTTATAGAGCCATTATTGCATGGAACTCCGTTCCATCTCATTTTGCTCAAATGAACAGCAAACCTGGTTTAAAAAAAACAGATAAAGCAACACCTCACGGCACAACGCCTCTCCCCTATTTGACCTAGATAGTTTGTGTGTATGTATTGATATGTAGGCTGTGTGCTATGTGTAGTTCTGTCCTTTAGCTGTTCTTGTCTATTAATGTTCTGTATTATGTCATGTTTCATGTTTTGTGTGGACCCCAGGAAGAGTAGCTGCTGCTTTTGCAACAACTAATGGGGATCCTAATAAAATACAAAAAATACCAAATGGAAGAGTCGTTTCCAGTGTCTCAGAAACACATTGCGCTTTCAACCAAGAAGATGCTGCATTGTCATAATTGCAACAGCAGTGCTTCACAATGACCTCAAACAGCATGGCTGCCCAGATCAATGACCTCAAACAGCATGGCTGCCCAGATCAATCACCTCAAACAGCATGGCTGCCCAGATCAATGACCTCAAACAGCATGGCTGCCCAGATCAATGACCTCAAACAGCATGGCTGCCCAGATCAATGACCTCAAACAGCATGGCTGCCCAGATCAATGACCTCAAACAGCATGGCTGCCCAGATCCTCGCATTGAAGATGAAGATGACCCAGATGTTCCCATGGTTGAGGCAGACAACGACAGAACTGGACAACCCTGCAGAGAAGCTTTTGCTATGCAGCACTTCTCACAACAAATATAGCTCAAGTGGTTGAAGCAAACAATAGCCATGGATTGGTAACAAAAAGGTTTTAAATTCACAAATGGAAATATCGGGACCCCAAACTGGTGCTGTTTCGAGAAAAACATTTGTACTGCTGATGCTTCCTGTTTCTCTCCTCCTTCTTCATAGCCAACTCAACATGAAGGATTCGCGTCTTCATATCATGCTCTTTTTTTAAATACATTAGTTTGTGCTCAGGAAATTCCATGGCCAGTTTCTCCTGCATGCTCAGCCTCTTTGTCTTTGTCCTCCAGCCCGGGTTAGTGACACAATCTTCCCTCCTGGCTGCTGCAGATGTAGCGGGCTGACCTTCATCCTGTCTTATCCCCTCCAAGCTATGGTGATCATCTGCCTCTAGACATTTCTTCAAGAGGTGAGTTCATGACATAATTTTTATTATGGGAGTGCAACAGATGACTGACAACATTACATATTCCCTGCAGTCCGGGGATGGCACATGTTGAATGAATGTGTCCTACAAAATGAGGACTGGAACGGTCCACATCTGAACTGTCCCACATCTGAACTGTCCAAATGGTTATCATCAGGGATACCTTCAAGGGTAAGATTTTTATGTAGTACCTTAGAAAGACAAGACGATATAGAAAGTATATTAGTAATTATATATTATATTGTTTGTGTTACATTTCTGTCATACAAATACATTTAGGCCCCACTGTGTAGTGTTACACAAGAAAACAAACATTTAAAAGTGACTCTGATTTGTAAAAGTGGGCCAACAATAAATACAGTATCTTACCTGCTCCTATAAATGTATGTTTACTTTTCACAACTTCCCATTTCTGTGAGCCGAAAACAGTTTTTGGGCACTCAAATCATCATTAAATTATCATAAAAACATACCCTATACCCTACTGTAATCGATCGCACACAACAAACCATCTAACATGTGATTTCATTTTACAGACCAAATAGTCTTCTAGGCCTATGTAAATCCATGACTCTTGCATTTAACAAGCGACTCACAAAGAACTACACATATTAATCCATAGGCCTATAATTAATAGACTATGAGACTAAAACATAATGCCCAGATATAATAGTAATAATCACAATAGGCTTAGCAACCTCTCACTGGCTCAGCGACCAGGAGATAATACACACTATTATTTTATAAGCAGTTTTAAGAGGACATGTCAATTAATACTACACCTAAACTATATCAAAACAAATTTCAAACATATAATAATAGTTAGCCTAAAGACAAGATTACATTGACAATAGTCTGGTGGGTGAGAATATTATAAATTGTATATGAAAAATCTAATGAACAGCACAGCTTGGAATTAACACAGAGGCAGGGGGAGAAAATAGAGTGCCAAAAAGTGACTGTTGCTGATTCTCCTACAGAGTCACAAGCAGGTAAGACGTTTTGATATCTATATATACAGTTGAAGTCGGATGTTTACATACACTTAGGTTGGAGCCATTAAAACTCATTTTTCAACCACTCCACAAATTTCTTGTTAACAAACTATAGTTTTGGCAAGTCGGTTAGGACATCTACTTTGTGCATGACACAAGTCATTTTTCCAACAATTGTTTACAGACAGATTATTTCACTTATAATTCACTGTATCACAATTCCAGTGGGTCAGAAGTTTACATACACTAAGTTGACTGTGCCTTTAAACAGCTTGGAAAATTCCAGAAGATGATGTCTTGACTTTAGAAGCTTCTGATAGGCTAATTGACATTTTTGAGTCAATTGGAGGTATTCCTGTGGATGTATTTCAAGGCCTACCTTCAAACTCAGTGCCACTGCTTGACATCATGGGAAAATCAAAAGTAATCAGCCAAGAACTCAGAAAAACAATTGTAGAATTGCTCCCAAGTCTGGTTCATCCTTGGGAGCAATTTCCAAACGCCTGAAGGTACCACGTTCATCTGTACAAACAATAGTACGGAAGTATAAACACCATGGGACCACACAGCCGTCATACCGCTCAGGAAGGAGACGCGTTCTGTCTCCTAGAGATGAACGTACTTTGGTGCGAAAAGTGCAAATCAATCCCAGAACAACAGCAAAGGACCTTGTGAAGATACTGGAGGAAACAGGTACAAAAGTATCTACATCCACAGTAAAACTAGTCCTAGAGTGGGGAGAACAAGTATTTGATACACTGCCGATTTTGCAAGTTTTCCTACTTACAAAGCATGTAGAGGTCTGTAATTTTTATCATAGGTACACTTCAACTGTGAGAGACGGAATCTCAAATCTCACACAAAAATCCAGAAAATCACATTGTATGATTTTTAAGTAATTAATTTGCATTTTATTGCATGACATAAGTATTTGATACATCAGAAAAGCAGAACGTAATATTTGGTACAGAAACCTTTGTTTGCAATTACAGAGATCATACGTTTCCTGTAGGTCTTGACCAGGTTTGCACACAATGCAGCAGGGATTTTGGCCCACTCCTCCATACAGACCTTCTCCAGATCCTTCAGGTTTCGGGGCTGTCGCTGGGCAATACGGACTTTCAGCTCCCTCCAAAGATTTTCTATTGGGTTCAGGTCTGGAGACTGGCTAGGCCACTCCAGGACCTTGAGATGCTTCTTACGGAGCCACTCCTTAGTTGCCCTGGCTGTGTGTTTCGGGTCGTTGTCATGCTGGAAGAACCAGCCACGACCCATCTTCAATGCTCTTACTGAGGGAAGGAGGTTGTTGGCCAAGATCTCGCGATACATGGCCCCATCCATCCTCCCCTCAATAAAAAAAAGCATCCCCAAAGAATGAGGTTTCCACCTCCATGCTTCACGGTTGGGATGGTGTTCTTGGGGTTGTACTCATCCTTCTTCTTCCTCCAAACACGGCGAGTGGAGTTTAGACCAAAAAGCTCTATTTTTGTCTCATCAGACCACATGAACTTCTCCCATTCCTCCTCTGGATCATCCAGATGGTCATTGGCAAACATCAGACGGGCCTGGACATGCGCTGGCTTGAGCAGGGGGACCTTGCGTGCGCTGCAGGATTTTAATCCATGACGGTGTAGTGTGTTACTAATGGTTTTCTTTGAGACTGTGGTCCCAGCTCTCTTCAGGTCATTGACCAGGTCCTGCCGTGTAGTTCTGGGCTGATCCCTCACCTTCCTCATGATCATTGATGCCCCACGAGGTGAGATCTTGCATGGAGCCCCAGACCGAGGGTGATTGACTGTCATCTTGAACTTCTTCCATTTTCTAATAATTGCGCCAACAGTTGTTGCCTTCTCACCAAGCTGCTTGCCTATTGTCCTGTAGCCCATCCCAGCCTTGTGCAGGTCTACGATTTTATCCCTGATGTCCTTACACAGCTCTCTGGTCTTGGCCATTGTGGAGAGGTTGAAGTCTGTTTGATTGAGTGTGTGGACAGGTGTCTTTTATACAGGTAACAAGTTCAAACAGGTGCAGTTAATACAGGTAATGAGTGGAGAACAGGAGGGCTTCTTAAAGAAAAATGAACAGGTCTGTGAGAGCCGGAATTCTTACTGGTTGGTAGGTGATCAAATACTTATGTCATGCAATAAAATGCAAATGAATTACTTAAAAATCATACAATGTGATTTTCTGGATTTGTGTTTTAGATTATGTCTCTCACAGTTGAAGTGTACCTATGATAAAAATTACAGACCTCTACATGCTTTGTAAGTAGGAATCAAATACTTGTTCTCCCCACTGTATATCGACATAACCTGAAAGGCCGCTCAGCAAGGAAGAAGCCACCGCTCCAAAACCACCATAAAAAAACCAGACTACGGTTTGCAACTGCACATGGGGACAAAGATCGTACTTTTTGGAGAAATGTCCTCTGGTCTGATGAAACAAAAATAGAACTAGCAAGGAGGCCTTCAAAACTGACTCAGTTACACCAGCTCTGTCATATTTTGAGTAAAAATATGTTGCTGTGCTTTGAGTGTAGAGAGTGCATGTAATAGCAGTAATTCTGCCCCCCAAAAAGTTTAATTTTGAAATAGAACTCAAGGGGTCAATTTGATGTTGTTTGGCACGGATATGTGATTTGTAAACTGCAGAATCTGCTCTTTCTGATACTACAGTTGAAGTCGGAAGTTTAGCAAAATACATTTCAACTAAGTTTTTCACAATTCCTGACATTTAATCCTAGTAAAAATTCCCTGTCTTAGGTCAGTTAGGATCACCACTTTATTTTAAGAATGTGAAATGTCAGAATAATAGTAGAGATAATTATTTATTTCAGCTTTTATTTCTTTCATCACATTCCCAGTGGTTCAGAAGTTTACATACACTCAATTAGTATTTGGTAGCATTGCCTTTAAATTGTTTAACTTGGGTTAAACGTTTCGGGTAGCCTTCCACAAGCTTCCCACAATAAGTTGGGTGAATTTTGGCCCATTCCTCCTGACAGAGCTGGTGTAACTGAATCAAGTTTGTAGGCCTCCTTGCTCGCACACGCTTTTTCAGTTCTGCCCACACATCTTCTATAGGATTGAGGTAAGGGCTTTGTGATGGCCACTCCAATACCTTGACTTTGTTGTCCTTAAGCCATTTTGCCACAACTTTGGAAGTATGCTTGGGGTCATTGTCCATTTGGAAGACCCATTTGCGACCAAGCTTTAACTTCCTGACTGATGTCTTGAGATGTTGCTTCAATATATCCACATAATTTTCCTTCATCATGATGCCATCTATTTTGTGAAGTGCACCAGTCCCTCCTGCAGCAAAGCATCCCCACAGCATGATGCTGCCACCCCCGTGCTTCACAGTTGGGATGGTGTTCTTCGGCTTACAAGCAACCCCCCTTTTCCTCCAAACATAACAATGGTCATTATGGGCAAACAGTTCTATTTTTGTTTCATCAGACCAGAGGACATTTCTCCAAAAAAGGTAAGATCTTTGTCCCCATGTGCAGTTGCAAACCGTAGTCTGGCTTTTTTATGGTGGTTTTGGAGCGGTGGCTTCTTCCTTGCTGAGCAGCCTTTCAGGTTATGTCGCTATAGGACTCGTTTTACTGTGGATATAGATACTTTTGTACCTGTTTCCTCCAGCATCTTCACAAGGTCCTTTGCTGTTGTTCTGGGATTGATTTGCACTTTTCGCACCAAAGTACGTTCTTCTCTAGGAGACAGAACGCATCTCCTTCCTGAGCGGTATGATGGCTGCGTGGTCCCATGGTGTTTATACTTGCGTACTATTGTTTGTACAGATGAACGTGGTACCTTCAGGCGTTTGGAAATTGCTCCCAAGGATGACCAGACTTGTGGAGGTCTTCCATTTTTGTTTCTGAGGTCTTGGCTGATTTCTTTTGATTTTCCCATGATGTCAAGCAAAGAGCCACTATTCTCACCCCTATCTTCAGTGCCTGCACTACTCTCTGCTACATGTCCTCAAATTGCACCATTTTGTCCCTCTCTGTCACCAACGCTCTTTCAATATTTATTTAATGAAGCATATGATTTTTAAATTTTGAGCTAATATTCTATAGGTGCAGGAACTCAAGTAGAAGAAAATTTGAGGTGTCGGTACTCAGTTCCGGTGAGCTCCTGCCGAAGTAAAGTACTGTGCTTAGGTAAAAAGACAAATAATGTCCCGTTTGGAAC